CCAAATGCGTACGCTTGCGTATGGGGGGTCTACTGACAATGTACGTATGCATAGGAAACGGGGGGGGGGGGGGGTGAAGCCTCGATAATGATTTGTCTACATTGGCCTTCACATTAGATAGTCCGGCGGTGGACTGTTTGCATAAACACGTTCATATTATTGTAGTGACATACTAGATATCACTAGAGGGCAGCCACAGTACCCAGTGACGAGGGGTGTTGTAGGGGCATAGCCTATTAATGGTGAGATAGAGAGCGCGTGAGGACATGGCCTTTGGGTGAACCCAGGAGGACACGTGACCGGATGAGGTGGAAGGGGCTACCCCCCCAAGGGGAGCGAGAGAAATACGTGATGGGGAACCGGAGCCTTCGAGAAGAATCTGAAATGGGGAGTGGCCAGGGGCGGAGCCCGGCAACGCCAGAGCGGATATAAGCCGATGCGGAGAAGCCGGCAGGGTTGCTGTCGTTGGAGTGCTGTTGGAGAGAGTTGGGACCCGCCTGCCAAGTCTTGGATCCACGGTCTTCGGGCGTCAGAGAAGTCGTCAAGAGCCGGGCAACGTGTTAGCTGACCCGGCAGATTATATAGTGTTCCCGTGTATGTTATGTAGCTATCTAGGGTGGTCACCACCCTTAGTCGTTATCCCGTTGAGTGTAGACTTACCTGTTGTGTTAGTGACTAAAACGTGTGGCCTCCATACTCAAGAGTGCGTCGCAATAGAACCCATTACATTATTAATCCTTGATCGTTTTTGCGTGGATTAAATATCGGCCGTTCTATAGGATTCGGGGGGGGGGGGGGGGAGGGTAAAAAGTACGCGTGCATACAGGGAGGGGGGGAGGGGTCAAGTTTCGACAGATTTTTGCGTACGTATTAAATGGATGGCCCCTTATGGGACCCCGGGGTCCCGCCATGAGGTCCATATGTTATAGCACAAAAATAAGTATTTTACAGTAATCACAAAAATAAGCACAGTATGAATACTGTACACGTGTTTTATAATCACGAAAATAACTTAACACTGTAGTATTATACTTTTATCACAAAAATAATTGAATTATTTACAGTATAATCACAGAAATAAGTACAGTATTAATAATATATGAATAAACACAAATATAAGATGCTCACTGAACGACTTCTATTCAAAGACTGAACCAAAAAGATGGCGCATGGCGCGAAAGTCGTGGAAGGTTGGGGATGAAATCGGATGAAAGAGGAAAGCACGTGGACGAAATTTGAAATGTGGTTATAATTGAAAACGGCCGAAAGAGCAAAGCGACAAAAGTCAAGTGGACGAAAGTCAAGGTATTGCTGTTAGCAAGGACCGTCAGAAACTTGTTTGAGCATAGAGACAATTTGGCTTGGAATTTAGGGGAGATTGGGGTGTTATTGAAAACTTACTGTGGCTGCTGGTAAATATGGGCAAACGAAAGCACTCAATAGCTTTTGAAACAGACTTCCCATGACATTTCAGGTCAAGTCATGGCAGTGAGACCAAGTAGGGATCAGGAAGTGAATATTATTAGGAAGTGTCTAGCTTCCTGGCCTCGTCACACTTGGCGGGAGCAGATCGACATAGACACGGGCCTCCCTGCTCCGGAGGCACGGACTGCAGCTGTGAGTGGCCAGCAAAATGGAGGGCACCACGAAACCTTTTTGCTGGTCATGTGCAACGGTAGAAGTACCATGGCCACCAGAAAAAATTAGCGTGTGTGCTGGTTGTGACCTTAATCTTTGTTGATGAACCTTCACACCACAGCTGGTGAGAATGAAACAGGTGCGGGGGGGAGGGAATGAGTCACAACGATTTGGCGAGACGCGTATTTACACCAAGTTTGCATATGCGTCATGGAAAAACATCCAAATACCCCATTGATTTATTTTATACATTATTTAATACATTAATACTTTTTAAAGTCCTTTGTTATAGCCATATTCTGAATTAGGTTTGGAGACCATACCTTACCATTCTGGGCAGTGCGAGGTTAATGAATGTGGGACTAGGAGGTCCGAGATATCACTCTCCGCAAATGCTGACACTGCATTCGAGTTTTATCTGCTGCTTTTGATGCCATACACTTCATCCTCCTAGAGTGTCTCCATAACTGTGTAGGTGTCTTGGCAACACTTTGCTAATGCTTTTGCTCGTATCTCTCAAACCGCTCCTTATATGATTCGATACAAGGACCTCCTTTACAAAATCATATTCAATTTGAATGCCGGTCATTAAAATTACATGCCCACATGTCAGGGACCATGCTATCTATAGGACTGACAATGATGACACTCCACCAATAGTGAAGTTGATTATGATCAAAATCAGAATATTTATCTTGGAGAAATCCAATGAGCTATGAAGCTCTTTTTCACAAATGTCCAGTAAACGAGAGGAAGATTGACTTGATATTGGTGTGCAATTTGAACTGTGAATGGAAATATTGCTCATTTATCATCAAAAGCCATGATCAATCCAGTGTTAGATGAAAGCCTATCCATACCATCACTGTCACTGTTCTAGTTCCATAATTTCACTCGCATTCGAGCTGTCATCGCTCCATCTCCATACTGGCCAAACTCTGGGGCGTGTATGCTCTTTTGACTGCCATTCCATCACCAATCTCGGACACCGGCAATTGTGATTTCGATTTGATCCACGTGTTTCTCTCTTTTAGCTCTCATTGTAATTTCCAACAATCATATCTCCACGCTTCGTTATTTCCTTTGAAGTTGTTTGCCTGATTGTATTTGTCAGTATTCATGTTGCAAATGTATTTGTCTTATCGAGCAGTATATACTGAATAGCATCTTCTTTGGTTCTTTCGGTAAAGTCACGTAGATTGATAATAAAATAATAAATTGATAAAATAAAATAACACAATAATATTCTCACGACGTTTGAATAGCATCGCTCATTAAGCACGTTAAGTATGTTACTTTATATGGCAATATAATTACATTCAATCTTAATTTCCAGAAGCGCTCCAACCAGCTGTTTCGTGCTTTTCATAATAATTGTGTAATAGCACAGCATTTATCCAACCCTTGATAGCTAGTTTAATTGGTGTCTCCACGTATCATCGAGTAACGTAGCAACATGGCACTTCCAGTCGTATGCCTTGCAATGCAAACGTCTTTAATCAGTAACTTACCATTATAGTGGGCACTTGCTTGGCTACACAATATAATATAAACACAGATCAAGCGGAACCAAGTGGTAAACATTCTCTCGTAACGCACAAGCAGAACTTGTGGTTGAGAACTTCCTGTAGCGGGGCAGGACACGCTTCTACCTCGCTGAATCAGGCGGATTCTGCCATTGGATGACTGCGAGGAGAGGCAACGCACCGTGCCACGTGCTCTCAAAAACTTGACCAACGCAGGCCACAAGTCAAAGGTGAACGCCCCGAATGCTCTTAGTATGGTGCTTAAATAGCCCCCGGGTAACCAGCTCAATTCGGTTTGGACCCAGACTTGAATGTGCAACAGCCCCCTCCAGTGTCACCACATTGCCACCTAATTGGCCCATTGCTGATTCCATGACCCCTGTTGCTGTTGTGAGCTACCAGTGCCAGCCGGTGGTGGCTATGCACGTGGCCTGTAGTCCAGCACTGTGGAGGCGCGGGTTGGTGGATGACAAATGTTGCAAAAACTCTTTCCCGAAGGAATCGAGGTGCAATACCCTGGCTCGCCAGCAGAATTCAAATTTTGAACCGATATCATTTCTTCTTCTGTATGGGATAGTGTTGCCCCCTCGCATGTGTGAGTATTCTCCGGGTGCTTCGGTTTCCTTCCACATGTGTAAACACTCACACATTTGCTAAAAACATCTTAATATATAGAGAACAGCAGAGCAATTGCCGTCGGCTCAATGCCTGGCAGCCTTCCAGCTTGTCTGTAGTTCTTTGGCGATTGTGAGATGCTATTTTCATGAACGACGACGCTAAATAAAAACATTAGATTTTTATTTTTAGACCTCACCCCAAATTTGACACATCTTTGGAATTTTCCCAAAATGTCCTCCCCTGTCTCCAGACTGCTTGAGTTAGGCTCCCAGTCCAGCCTGACCTCACCCCATTTAATAACACAATACACAGCTATTTCCATAGATGTCTGCCACGTGTGGGGCACATGATTCACTGTCCATGACACCCCCCCCCCTTTTCCTTGGTTCCATCCTCACAGCCCACAAGGAATAATAATTACTATTTTTTTCCAAGTAGATCGCAAGTCCCATGCACCCATGTGAGCAACCCTAACCAAACCAATGTTCACACAAACATTTTATTGATCCCCAAAAATAATTTAAACATTTCACTAATATTTAACCCACAGAACATATTAACCCCGATTGCTTGTAGGCTTCCTTGACGCTCACTATGAAGGCACTCCTTTATTAATTGCCATATTGATTACCATAAAGTAAACTGAGTACTGGTGAAGTATTTGTTCACTTGATGTTATTTATCTATTCCAACATTTGGCTTTACCCCTCCCTTTTTATGGCAATCCTGGAGTGAAGCAGGGATTAACAAATTTCAGGACATTCTCTTATTTCCTAAATGCATTTATTTCCAGGAAGTACAGTACTCTTTCACCTGCCTAAACAAGATTTTTTTTAAATCAATTAAAATTAATTGTGAATACAACCCGAAATGATTTTTTTAAACACCCAATATCCATTTACCTGGCTTAATGGACATATTAACAAAAAAACACAATCTCAGAAAGTCCTGTGATAGAATAGACTAGTCCTCAGATTAGACAATTTACAGCCACTGTGTGGAGTTATGTCACATCGCAGGACATGTAAAGTTAGGGTTCGATCCCGACCATAACCCCTGTATGTTTGGAGTTTGCACGCTCTCCCTGTGTTCGCGTAGGTTTTTCTCCGGGTCCTCGGTTTTTCTCTCCACATTTAGAAACGTGTTTAGATTATTTGGCTGCTATAAATGTCCATATAATAAGTCAATTCATTGGGCTATCATTTATGGCCAGGTCACTTCTGAAAAAGCGCTATATAGCTCATTGTGCCTTACCTGGTAAAATAAAAAATTGTTTAATGTCGTGTCTTCTGGAATGAATTATGTAACTCTGCCTGATTCAGTTTCAAAGTTTGCATGGTACTTAAAACAAACTAATAAAAGTATGAAAATGCCTCAAGGTCATGTCCAGAGAGCCATCATTTTTGCATGATTCTTTGAAATTATTTTAGTCAAGTGTATTTCACTATCACTGCTCTATCGATACACCTCTTCTAGATATCACTCCCCAAGGTCTATCTGATCATCAAAGCATACTAATTCACATCTAATGCACCACACCTAAGCTCGTTATATTACGAATTTAGAAAAATCATGTACTTTTATCTTGGGAGACATGAGTCGGCAACATGTTTATTGTAGAGTAATTAAAACAAATCAGCTACTCAAATTATAACATAATTTTGGCAACATTTAGTTATATTTTATCTCTACACCTCAGTTTTTTTCCAATTACATTATTTTGCACCAAAACATATTTTAGTTAGATGTAGTGGCTTACTGTATAGGTTATCCTAGGGATCCAAACAAGTAGTTTACTGGATTTATTTGATAACTGGATTCGAGTGACATGTATTGGTATTTGAGATGACATAACACCATATTTGTGCCAATGAATTCTAAAGCAACATTTGGCAAGTGTATATTCATGCCCTCACTTATCTAGCTCTGTAGACGCCACTTTGTTATGCTCATGTATTTGAAGTGTAAAACCTCGTCAATACTGGCTACAATTTTCAACTCTGAATTCCTGCTGTGTGCATCTTGCTGCACGCTTTTGTGTATTTACTGGAAATCCTTGAAAAAACATTTATGAAAATTACTTTTACATGTTGCTTGCATTAGTTAAAAATTAACATATTCAGCCTGGTAAGTTGCAAATTAATATGAAGTGCTGAGCGGTTGGTATTGGATCCTGGCAGCGCGGTGGCGGTAAATTTTCACTGTGGCCACACAGACGGCACCGACGGCCATGGTGGCAGCCAGGGCGTACACCATGCCTGTCCAGCCGGGCAACCCATCGCTGCTCTGCTTCTCCAGAGACGCTGTGGGTGGGAGGGGGTCCACAGTAGCACCGATACCAAAATCAGAAGCAACAGCACCATTACCAATAAGTTCAGCAGCAAAAAAAAGCACAAACAAAACAATAAATTTCATTACGACAATCTCACAAGTTCCCTAACGTTTTATGAAATGATTATTGTCTGAAAAATGGGCCTCATTTTAAATTATGAAATTATGCGTGTATATATATAAATAAATCCCCTTTATCCACAGAGACCATTCTGAGCATTGGGATGCTCGGCCGGTGTTGCAAGAACGCTTTGCAAGTGGCTGGGAATTGGAGTACCCTGGACAGACCCCATACATACGGGGAGAAATCACACACAAGTGTAAAATGAAATTGCTGTGCTGCCATATCCTGGCCACCTTGCAACGCTCCAGGTGTGTAAGACTCACGCACAGAGTGAATTCTGCAAGGGCCACAAACGCTTCTTTCAAAATTGTAATTACAGGAATGTACCTCCACTGGCAAGCCAGGTGTTGATAACAATCAACCTATGCATCTTAATTTATGCAAGCGGACACCTGCAAACAACAGTTTTATACCATTTTATTTCAAATTAAAAGTCACAAATTTGTAACGTGACACTATTTCTCTTGATTCAAAGGTGTTACCTTCAGAGAGAAACCACAGACACGTGGGACGGCAGTCAGATCCAGCACCAATAATTGCCCAAGGTCTGGCCCTATATTGCGATATTTGGCCAATTCCATTAATGAGTGATTATACATGGGTAAGGAAACCGGAGTACCCGGAGAAAAGCCACACGTAGAAGGGAGGGTTACACTACCCCACAGATGGTAACAGAACTTAATCCACTTGATGTACCTCCATCTACTGGCGAACAAAGGAATAGCAACCTCGACGCCCACAGAGTGTTTCACAACTTTGTATGATCCACTAACCCTCACCTCCAGAGTGCTGCATTACAGACGTGCGCCACCATTGACCGGCGCATCACGTCCTGCTCATAGGACTGCCAGCGTTCACTGGACATGCATTGGCAGACTGGAGAGATTTTCGCAACAGCGAGACCAGGGGTCTGACCTTCACGACTCTTGCGCAGTCTGATGGGGCCCTGGGACAGGTCGACGGAGTGCTCGGCATGACGTGCATCTCCGTGCACCACCCCGAGGTCTCGCGCCACCCGCCCTCCCCGCATGCAGCCTCGACGGCACCGCGAGCCCCAGTCCGAGATGTTGCACACGCGCACTGAGCACTCCAGGTACACCTGCCAGGGACATAATCGTTACCACTATCATCGTCATCACTCCAGGCACACCTGCCAGGGACCAAATCAGCACTCAAGGCACACCTGCCAGAAACCACATCATCATCACTCGAGGTACACCTGCCAGGGAAGCACATCATCGCCTCCATCATTGTCATCACTGCAGGCACACCTTGCATGAACGATATCATCGTTGTCGGGGGTATACAAAATACCCACTCCCATAATATACAGAAAATAATATAACACATTCGTGGCCAATATGTTCACGGCAAATAAAAATCCCCGACTAAAGGGACATACATTACAAAAATATAACTTAGAGCTTGTACTTCATGCCTATATTATAAAAGTGGTATTTGTTGGTCCAAGCCTTCTGGTGGATCTCGCAGGTCATTGCGAACCACCAGAATGAACACAGTGCTTAATATATGTAGTGGCTAATTCTGATCTAGCCCCCTGGTTGAATGACTGACTGCCCGAGCTCTGAAAAGTGAGCAGAGCACATTGGGTCAGTAGGGTGCACCACACAGCATAGACTTGAGCTGCCACCAGTATAACACCCGGCTATGTTAAATGCCCCTTAGGCCAGAGTGTGTTGTCCTACATTAAAAGATTACATGATTTGTCACTCGGGTGAGGAAGTTCGCTTTTATAAAGATTCGGTGGCGTGGAAGATTGTTACTGAGCACAACTAAAGCTTTATTGGGGGAATACGCTTGACGTGCGTGTAAAATGGTGAATGTTGTTACAGAGTTGTCTCCAGGGCAGAAGGGATTTCAATAGGCCGCACAGTTACTTTTGAGAGTGACATTTGTAATACAGTACAATGAAGTTGTGTATTTTTTGTAATATATATGTTCCTATTGGTGTTTATTTTTTTAGGGCTTATTGAATGTTGCTTGTGTGTGCTCGATGTGTGCTGTGTGTAAGATTTTATATTTATATAACGTTCAGATTTATTTTATTTATAAAACCAATTATTATAAACCACAATTGGCCCGGGTGCTTTAAAGTGTGCTACTTCATCGGCATCACCCCAGGTAAACCTGCCAGGGACAACCACTTCATCTTTCAATCAGACATTCATAGAGCTCTCAACATTGTCATCACCATTAACACCATCACTTTCAAATATTAATGAAACTTCACAGAATGCTACAATTATACATGAAGGAAGAAGCAACCTTGATCATTCTTTATATGTATAAATATGGAATGTTCACGTCTGACTCTGGGACAGAAACAGAGATGAGTCGTCCTGATCCTCATTTGAGCTGGGCCACTTTCTTTACGGCAAGGACCAGCCCTCGCCAGATTGACATATTTATAACCATCACCTAATTTAAATGTTTAACCAAAAAAGTACAGCAAATTTACCGATTGGTCCTCTTTGGGTGTTTTTCAATTCAACTCTTCATTATTATTTTAAATCATAATATATTGCCTCTTATTTTATTAACTCTATAATATGCAGTCATACAAGTGAAGCCACGGGGTGCAATTTGCAGGGACGCCTTTCCACAAAGGCCAAAACAAAATGGCGGCTTGGCACATGGCACCTGCGAGTCGACGAAGAACTCGACACTGACGAAGCTGAAGCGCTGCTTGCTGTTGGAGCCACTGTAGTAGGTGGTGTACGTGGGGTCCACATGGCACCTGCATTGCCCACCGATGAAAAGTAATCTCTAATTTTTTATACTGTATTTATGGTAACAAGATTATATTACTTTGAAATTACCAAACAATGTTAATTGTATATGGTGGCTTTCAAGATCAATTTTATTAATCAAAATTTTTTTATTTTGGGTTAGATCCTGGAGGTATGCAATTTTTTTTACTATACACTCTCAACCACCCGACAAAGCCAATCAAATCAATTTACCCACGTGATAATTTTATTTGATTGGATTTGTCGGGTGGTGGGGGGTTTGTATAGTAAAAAAATGGCATTATAACTCCACAATATAACCAAAAATAAACCCAATTATGAATTATACGAGAAAATTATTTCTAAAACGTCAAGTAATCAAGAACTGATTATGTTGGCGAAAGCAGCTAAACAAAAATTATAAATAGCACACTAAATTCTATTAGACGTCAACTGCACAGTAAATCCTTTTCGACACGCACCCATTCTGAAGCAGGAAAAAGGAGGCGCTGTCCGGTGCCCCCGGGTAGGGCGATACCTTGCACGTCTCCAGGAAGAGCTGCAGGTCCCAGGCCACAGAGGTCAGCGTCACCTGTCAGAGAAACAACACCGTTCATCGTCGGCAGTGGAGTCACGCCAAAGTCCCTCTACCCACTGCTGCCGCCTCTTCCCTCCGGTCAGTGATGCCCCCCCCCCCCCCCTCCACTGCCAGTTCTCAACCTCAGCCCTTCTCCTCCCCTCACCTCAGCGTAGAGCGGGTTTCCCAGCTCCACGTCGTATGGGTAGGAGTAGATGGGCTGGTGGAAGAATTGGTTTGTGTAGAAGCGCACCTGTAGCTCGTAGGAGCCCATGCTCACCATGTCCTGTACCCTGAAGCAAGAAGGAGCGTCCATAGTAATCCGCAGATAATGAACAAATTATAGGAAATCCGTGGAATATTTATTTAAATACAGTCATTAAAAAAAAGTCATGCCCAGCTGGCTGAACAGGCAATTGTCTCTGGTGGTGGCCCTGAGATAATTTCACATTCTCATCATGGGGCCTGCTCCTCCATAACGTTTGACTTTCTCAGAGTATCACTTTTTCCTTGGTCCAGGATTTTATAGTTTATGATTAAGAAACGTTGTGTCTTGGATATTGTTATTTGTATAGATTTCGAATGTTTTCCACTTCTATAAAAATAATTGCAGTAATGTGGCGTGTTTGGTCACGGCAGGTGTTTTGTTTTTTACCTTCTGGCTGCTTGATGTTGATCTTTGTATTGTATTCACCTGTACAATAATAACTATTTGCTTACTTTTGATGCCAGAAAACCTAGAACAACATTTTTTATTTACAAAACCGTGGGAGAAAAGTGGCAGTGAAGACGATGTGGGGTGTAGTTCTAGACATGACAGCGTAGTAAAATCAGAAACTACTACCCAATGATAGGACATTGACGCCAGAGTTATAGAGGAAACAGATGTTGATGGAATAGGGGTTGTCAGGTGAAGGCTAAGGGCAGAGACAGAAACAGGCGTGAGGCCTAGGAGAATCTCGAGGACAAGTGTGCAATTAATTTGCATGGGAGTGAGTTGCGAGGCAGGGGAGAGCTTTGATCTCAAGAGAGATTCATTGAACCCACGGGACTGGCTTGAACGCCTTTGAGCGGGCAACCAGTGCTGTACCTACCTGGGGGTGAAGCTAGCCTGAACACGACCACTCGATCCCATGTAGCAGAGCATGGGGACCCGCAGCCGCTTCGCGCCATTTGGAGCCACGTAGCCGTATGCCGTGTTGATGTAAATGATAGTGTCGCCATTCGTCTGTAAAAAAAAAATTAAAAGCCAGCCTGGGTTAGAATTTTTTTTTTAAATCGGAGTTAATTTTGATGGCGACACAGCCATATATGTCGGTAAACATTTCGGAGTGGCTGTGTGGCTCATGGACTTCATATGTTTGTGCCAGAACACGGTAGCTACCACCAATTATATTATTACTTGTGCCTATAAATCCAGTTGATATGAATCGCTAGCAATGTCTATTAAACGTATTTTATTGAGCTGTTTGCTGTTGTAAACGTTTTATCTCACCTTTTTTGAGTTTACATTGAGTGATTTAGCATATAAAGTTGGAATCCTGGATTAGGAAGGTAATTGAATTAGCGTGGTTTAGTGTACAGAAACCAATATCAACTCCTGCATTTTCCTGCCTCAACACTGTTGATAATGTAACAAAACATGTTTAAAGTTTCTAACTACGATGCGCCGCCACTGATTAATGGTTAAGCTGTAGCTCGTGAACTTTCTAGCCCCAGGCTCTTGCTCTATTGCCCTGCGCTTACCTCCGTCCTTGAGCCGCAGCCATTGAGCGGTGCTTGGAGCCGGGCATATTGGCCGTACACTCTGGCGTGGCACGACGGGTCCTGAAGGTGGATGTCGTATACAGATAGCCCGCGTGATGAGATCTCACTCAGGGGGATGAGCAGCTCCATGGAATGCGAATCGCAGTGGAACTGCTTTGACAGATTGTCTGTGAACGCGCACGTGTAACGTCTATTATTGGTTCGTGTACAAGCGAGTCAGTGTACTCGTCATCCTAGGGGCACAGCGTTAATAGGGAGCGGGCAAAGCATTACAATCCCGTGACATGGATTCGATGCCTATATGCATGGTGAACAATGCGAGTGGGTCATCGGTATCGCAATATTTATCCTCGAGGAATCCAATCAGCTTTAAAGTGCTCTTTCACAGATGTTCAGTATCCGACCCCCGTCATGGTCTCCGATGGGTTGATTCGGCCTAAAATGTCTGCCGTGTGGTGGTGCTCTTTACATTGAGCTCAAGAAATCTCTCCTAGTCCCTGTGCAATCCTGTGCACGTCCCACTTACAAGTGCCCCTGGGTTATCATCTTCAGATAAAGTCACATTTAAAACGGTTGCACGGATGTGGTTCTGCTCACACCACCCCTCCAAATTACCATTACGGCCTAGTAAAAATATTTAAGTACTTTCAGCCTTTAACCACACACGGCTATGAGGTTTATTAAAATAAGTTTATATTTGCATATGCACACAAAAGTACACCTTAATGAGCATATGCTTTTATATGTAACTAGCTTTACGACCCGGCTTCACCCAGGACTTGGATTCACCACGCCCGGCCGCCTTTGTCTCCCCAGTGGCGATGTTCACACACCACACCAGTTACTCGTTTGAGGCTGAGTCGACCTAGGGGAGGCCCAGGACCGGTTCAAATAATCGTCACCGGCGGTGGCTGTGAGCAGGAATCGAACTCGGGTCGCCGGGTTCGTAGTGCAGCGTACCGCAAACCACTACACTACCGCTCCCCCCACACACACGCGCGCGCGTGTCCATAGGTACACATACACGCGCTTGCTGCAGACACACACAACTTTTAGGGTGCGTACGGCAGTAAATGACTGAAATAATAAAGCAATGCTGCGCGAAGAACGCCTTAGACATGCAACACATTTTTATTTCACTTTAGCCGCGGAGGGTTGGGGGGGGTGACATCAGCAGGCACACTCCGTGACGCTTCCACATACGGGTCACATGACAGATGTGACGTCACAGCTCACGTGCGGTGCAAAATATATGCATTATTGCGCCCCCCCCCCCCCCCCCCAAAAAAATATACAAAACTGTATTTTTATAATGATTGCATGGTGTACAGTCTGGAAAGTACCCACATGGCAAATTTCAAGCTTGTTGCATGTCGGAAGTACGCTAAACATTTTGAACAGACACACATATTCACAAATTTCCCTTTTATATATATTATGTCCATATATTTAGCATGCTGCGCTATGAACTCGGTGACTCAATTTCAATTCCCACTCACGGCCACCAACGCCAGTGACAATCTAATCTGTGCCTCCCCTAAGTCGACTCAGCCTCAAATTAGTACCTGGTGCAGTGTTTAAACATCGCCACTTGGGAGACAAAGGCAGCTGCGCGTGGTCCTGGCCACCCATCCCAACGTGTGCCGTGCCAAACTTCATTGGTGCTCACTAACAGCACTTACCCAACATTCTGTTTAGGCTATATGAGGGATATTTGTCTTTTATATATGTAAAAGCAGTATGTGTGCAATGTATGCTTTATATGCTGCACATAAACTTACATGATGGTGTTGTAGACCAATAGTTAACTAGGAGATAAACAAAGTTATGAACATTAATGTACGACATTTACATTCATGGGAAAACATTTGATTATGAAAATTAATGTTACCAGTTATGGATCAGACAGACTTTGCATGAATCAAAGACTGTATAGTTTTGTGACCAGTACAAAAAAACACCGAAATGGCTGAAGTGTTCACAGTGAAGGTTCTTGGCGAAATAACATACCAGGGTCCGGATATGGGAGATTTTACCTGTGGTAGATGCAGAGGCAGCTGCTCCAATTGACGATGATGATGGACACATTTGAAAGACAAAAAGTAAATTTACAGTATTATCGACTGGGTGCCCGAAGGATAAATCGCACGGAAAATTATTGCACTGCGATATTTGGCGACAGTAAATGAATATGAATTACCGTGCGAGCAGACGACAGAAGAGTCTTCTGAATGTACACAGTTATGACTACCCCATCCATGGTGTCTACAGTGGGAGAGCTCAGACTCATAGCCAAAGCAACTAATTCCATCCAGCCAGATCGGACCGCTGCCCTGCCCATAGTGTGCTCCTTGCAGGGCGGACAGAGCATGGCCACAGCCCAGCTGGCGACACACGACCTCCGCGTCAGGCATGTCCCAGTTGTCGTCGCACACAGTGCCCCACGAGCCTCCGTAAAACACCTCCACGCGGCCCTCACACCAGCCACCCGCGACCAGCCGGACTGGAACATCTGGTGGGCACACCAGACGGAGTTGTCTCAATTAAGGGAAGGACCAAAGTTACTGGAGACCCGGGCTGTTCACTTGCCGGCTCAAACGTTGATCCGACCGCGGCAGACTTGACCTCTGAACCAGCGCTTTGACCTCTGAACCACACAGCCATCTGAAGTCACATTGGTGGAGTGTTTTGTGGTTTTGTTCACTAATCAGTCCTACTGTATCTACTATATTTTAAATACCCATCCCCAGCAATCCATTTTCACTCATATTGTTATTATATTTTAGCGTGTTTTCTTCTGATGATATTGTTATTTATAATGTGCGTTCTTAGTTACCTTACTGTACCTGACATCTATGTGAATGAGAACTGGAAATGCTTTGTTTGTTTTATCATTATATTTAACTTTAAAGCCCAATATAACTGGGTCGATCTTGTCGAAGGCATAGCGGTAATCTTTGCAAGCTGACATCTCCACCTGAGGGTTGCCGACAGAGTTAAGATTTGCCCAATTATTCACTTGAGCCAGGGGGATACACACTATTAAGCAAGGTACACTGCACTCAGGTGGGGAGGTGCAGTGGTAATAACCATTCTACAACATGATTGAGGTTGGACGAAGAAGTAATACTGGATAAGGAAAAGACCGTTGTGGAAATTTGTTCGACCCAATCCTTGGTAATGAACTGTCAGATTTGACTGATGATGATGAAACTGCAATTATAGAGATAATACCTCTTCCTAGAACGTCCATAAAGTGCTACGAGTCAGTAATATGATGTCTTACTTTGGTAGCTTGATGTGGATGTGTATCCTGTAAAATAAAAACAAAAATCACAATAATTTACATAAGCACTTGGCATGTGTTGATTTATTCTTGGTTCTTTCGGTAAAGTCACGTAGAAGGGAAACAATTAAATAATAAAAATATAAAACAAGAAAATTATCACGATGTTTCGACTGCAACACAAGCAATCATCATCAGGTGTGAAAACCACAGCAAGAATTTTTATTATTATTTTATTGTTTCCCTTCTACGTGACTTTACCGAAAGAACCAAGAATATGAATCTCTGCAGTCACGACAGTTTTAAATCAAAATGTGTTGATTTACTTGTTTCCGGTAATTGGGTGAATTGTCACAATTCAGGTTTTGCAAAATGATCTGAGAATCAATTACTTTTTTTCGGCTCGTTTTCTTAATGTATAATTTGTTTTGAGCAATCATCTTGAGACATTGTGAAATTTGGCACTGGACAAATAAATATACTTATTATTTCTACAACTACTACCACGAACACTACCATAGCATTGGTTAATAAAAACACATCTTACCAGGTGTTGAACCTGCTCCGCGTGGCATAGAAGACATGTGAAAGAGAGAGTTACAAGCACGCGGTGAATACACAGCCAATAACCACCTGCGCAATACAAGTTTCCTTCAGGTTTAGTTTCAAAACATGTTTAGAACTAAAAGTGCATGTTAACCTTAAATACCATTGTAAATAGTCTGTGTCCTGAGCTGCCCAACATGAGTTTGAAGGTTAGATAATTGTGACTTTCAAATATGCGCTTTTCCTTGGTTAGTATTTAACGAGTGATGCTAACATTACAGTTCAAACCACGCAATGAAGCGAACACGCATGCACAGAGATAAGGGTAGTCGATAAGATACAATGAGTGTGACACTCAACACAATATATAGGGAGCCCTTGAGGCGGCAGTTTTGCATGAAATTAAGAGTGCTAGGTCTGCTCATGTGTGCTGAAAATTCTGCACTGCATAATGTGGAAGTAGGCCTAACGTAATGTCAATCTGATGAAAACACAGAAATCGTATCAGTGCACATCGGTCGTGCAGAAAATAAAACCAGTGCCTAACTGCGAGGAGTGAGCATGGGCACAGTTTTGCCTCTATAAAGGAAGAGTGCTACGTGCTCAAGGGAGTGCTCATGGGGAGTGGGACGCACCATGGCAGTTGTATTCGTCTGAACCATCACCGCAGTCAACGATGAAGTCGCAATACCAGTTTCCCCAAATGCACTCGTATCCGTTTGCACATTGGAACTCGTTGGATGCACACTGGCCAGCTGCATCCAGCACAGACATCACATATTTTTAAACCCCCACCTTGTTAGTATTGGCTCACAAAATCATAATATATAATGGGGTAATCCCAAATTTAAGTTCAAACATCTAGTTGAGTCGAAGTACCTCCATGCTCAAACAAGTGTGGGACGATGATCACCTCTTTTATATAATTTTTTTACAGCGATGAAATACATTCTTATTCTCATTAAATTTATTAAAATAAAAAGTGTTGTTGAGTCTCTTTTTCAGGAGAGTCCTGCATTGGAGACTCTTGTAGCCAAATCTGTTGATATATTTGCAACAACCAAAACAAATGAATGTATGTATGTATGTGAGAACAAGTCTGGATTCACTACTTTACTGGTCAAAAGGACATGAAGGTTTTACCCCAAATTTTGCACAAAATGATCCGTGTTTAATCAAGGTGGCTAGGGCCAAATACATGATGATCAATGGAATCTGTACAATGGTTTTAGTCCAGTGTGAAATGCAAATTTTGTTAGCATTGGCAAAAATATCTAAAACATTGATTTAAAGTCATGTAGGTAAAAAAATAAATAGAATAAAATAAATGAAAACTAAATTAAATCACGACTTTTCGGGAGCAACACAAGCGTCCTTCTTCAGGTGGGGACAATGTAGCGAAAGAACAAACGCTTAAGTGTGTCTCAGAGATGGCTGTGACCGACTTGGGCCGAAACTGGGGCTTTGTGATGTAGATGGCGGAAGTAGATAAGCAAGCTAGGATTAAGCCGCATTTTGTTATGCTGCCGGGTGGGTAAGTTAGAAATGCGCAGGCTAACAACGTAAGGAGTTCAAACTGAAATGTGCAAGCTAAAAAACAACTTGTGGTACACACTAGCATGGCGATGGTAGTGTGTAAAACTGGGGGTAACAGACTGGGAATATGGGTATGTTTATGAAAATACATCTAAACCGGCTGTCTAGTAGTAAACTGCCCAGTAGCTAAAGTTTGACTTGGTTAATTACATCTTTCCAATGATTGCTCGATTTGAATCCATCATCTCGGTTGAAGTTATATCTATGTTTTTATATCTGGATGGCTTTATGGACAAATCTTTGGTAGTATCCAGGAGGCTTGCAGAGCACCTTAGTATCAGAGAACACAATGTCATGAAAGCCAGCAGGATTATAACAGTGGTCGGCCACGGCCGAAGAATCCGTCCTGCCATGTTTCAGATCCAACTTGTGCTCACGAATGCGATCAGAAATATGTCGTTTCGTTTCCCCGATGTAATAATCCCCACAGGTGCAACTCAGTTTGTAGACACCAGGGTACTGTAAGTCAGGAATGACATCCTTTACAGATGGGGTCAGATCACAGATCTTGTGTACTGTACTGAATCGTGATCTGTTTCGGCCCAAGTCGTTGCCTCCCAGCACTCCCTCGGCTTCCCAACTTCACCTCCCAGCCCACACCCCGCCACCACACTCACCATGCCCCCCCCCCCTCTTTCCATGCCCCGCGACTATATAATCCCTCATCACAGCCATCTCTGAGACACACTTAAGTGTTTGTGCTTTCGCTACGTTGTCCCCACCTGAAGGACGCTTGTGTTGCACCCGAAACGTCGTGATTTAATTTAGTTTTCATTTATTGTATTCTGTTTATTTTTTACCTACGTGACTTTACCGAAAAAACCAAAGAGTATGAATCCTTGCAGTCACCAAAGCTTCAAATCTAGAATTTATTTAAAGTTTTAGTGACTGCAGGAATTCATCCTCCTTGGGTGTTTCGGTCAAGTCACGTAAATAGAAAATAATAGATCACGACGTTTCGATCGCAACACAAGCAATCGTCTTCAAGTGAAGACGAGCTGAGCCGTCATCACTTTCTTAAGGTTCCTCATGATTGAGTAAAGTGTGCAAGGTCTCACATGTAGTAGTAGCAATGGCTGCAGAGGATGGTGATTATAATATGTAAAACATTCAAACACAAAATATGTAGTTATGACGTTTCATCAATAGGATTGGTATTATTACCTAATATTACAAATGCAGTTTTATGCACAACTACACATTTTACTTTGTAAAATAGAGCCGTAGTGTCAGATTTTAATAAACCAGGCAATTAGCAGCATACGCATGTTCCAGTAATAGAAAAGAACAGGTACATTTTAATATGGGTCTTCTGTGATGAGTAACATATATTACCCATTACCCTTAAGATTTACACGGACAAATCTACTTCTGCTCCTCTTCATTGTTGTGACCCTCAAAATATAGCTGATAAAAATAACTAAATCACTGCAGAACTCATCGTTCTAATTTTCTTACAGCGAAGTGTTACGGTCACAAACTGGTTTTATTAGTTCTCCATCAGGTTTGTTCGGGGATGGCGCCCATAACAAGCCCTGCTTCTAAATGTCCATTCAACCTGCATAGTGTGTGGAATGTCTCACCTGGAGTAGGTGACACTTCTGGTGGTGATGAAAACATGTAAAATGAACAAATACAAATACAGTTATCAATGAAGTCTGCTTTGTTGGATATTCTTCATAATTGTGTTAGGGTTTCATATTCTTGGGTCCTTCGGTAAAGCCACACAGATAGATAGATACAATAAAAAATAATAACAATATCACGACGTTTCGATCGCAACACAAGCAATCGTCATCAGGTGAGAAATATCGCAGGAGAGCTGCTGGGAATACATGGTGGGAGCGCTGCTAAGGTAAGGAGTTATAAAGGTTTGGGATGGGTGTAGCCCAAGGGTAAGTGGGAGGGGCTAGACATGAAATTTACATGTAAATGTAAGATCGGGTATATCTTGACAAACGAAGCTGTGGGGGTGGCCATTGTATTGTGAGGGATTAGCATGTCAATGTAAGAAATGTGCTTGTAAATGTAAGCTCGAATAGAGCTCGGAAAGAGCCATCGCCACATGGAGGTGGAACAGGATGGCAAGCCGCTATTTACAAATGATGTTGTGGGGGTGGCCATTGTATTGTGAGAGATTAGCATGTCAATGTAACGGTATTGTGTTAGGATTTATGAAGCTAGGGCAGGGGTCAGCAACCTTTCAAAGAAGAGCCATTTTTTGTTTTTTGTCTTTCACCAAAATAGTTTGAGAGCCGCATCATACACAGAGATACTTGTACACAAACACAACAAGTATACAGCAGATAACAAATTATGACAATACAGTTTGGCTGTACATTTTGTTGGCACCAAGACATTCTATAGTGACCCATTTCCTGCAAATTTTTTTATCAATTATCTTTACTTTAAGTTACGTTTAAGATTTCATTTTTAAAAAGCTTCCTGCAAGGGGGCAGCCAAAGAGCCCCAAGGGGGAAACCAAACAGCCTCATGAAACAGGTTGCCCACCCCTGAGCTTTCCAATCTGCATGTTTGTTTTCAATAACCATCTTTATTGCCTAATAACATGAAGGTATTGGTAAAGTATGAATACAGGCATTATATGACTGGCACCATCTTAACATTCAATGGGCATACCCTTAGATTTACACGAAGTCCACTACTGCTCCTCTTCAATGTTGTGACCCTGCACTGCAGAAATAATCGTTGTGAATTTCTTACAGCGGAGTGTTCTGGTCATTAAATAGTTTTGTTAGTTCTGCAACACAATCCTCTAAGTATTGCGGAAATGACAATGTTAAGGTTGATGAGACCTCTAAGCTAAGTCGGACAGGGCACCAGACATTGCGGGCCTAATTTATGGCATCGTGCCAAAACAACAATGATAATTATCACATGCAATCATTCCTCTCTGCTATCCCTTTTATTTGAAGTACATTACAGTAAAGATGAAAACCACAACAGAAGTTGATACATGCTTCAACTTTTAATGGAACTACTTTGCTCTAACTATCAGAAGCTGGCCAGTGTAGGGACCTAAGGTTGGTTAGCCTTTGCATGAGAGTGGATTGCTCAGCTGCCAGCAGGAAGTGAGGTTAGGGGGATGGAAGGTGCTGTCACACCATTTATAGGATGCACTTTCACAAAAAAAATTTGTATCGAAAGAAATGGAAATCTCTGAATATTGTGGTCTCATGGCAGATGCATACAACTTCAGATCCCTGCCCGATAGTGGATTAATTATCCAGGACATGACATCCCTAATCCCACAAATGCTCCAAAAAACCGCTAAGCTCGATAAGTAGCACATCCAAAATGTTATTTAAATGTTATCTGTATGTGCAACGACTCGCAGCAAGCAGTAAACGTGGTATCTACAGTAGTCGGATGATAATGGTGAAGACATTGATATGAGACAAACATCATATTAGCATTCAATGGCATATGTACTTTACTGTTCATCTTATTTACAAAAGCAAACACATTGCACTTGTAAAATTCAACAAAATGCATTATTTTACACGTAAACTTGTATCTCTGCTTAAACGAGCATGGGGTCATGTCCACGGCCCAAAGTCAGTGCTAGATGTTCGACATCCCCATGGGATTCATATCACTGGCTGTAACTACATGATATACTTCACGTAACACAATTATTTGTTTCCAGCGTATTTACTGCAGAGAGATGTGCTGAATGAACTCCAATCCTTGATTATAACTCTTAATTAGTCGTTGAGCTCTAACCAGATACGTACCCACCTCGATAATCCAGAAAAATCTGGGCAGTGCCTACAAAGATTCAACATTTGGTTTGGATAACTGTTGAAATGTGAAAATAATTAGTAGCACAACCACGTGATAGTTATTTTAATAGACACCCTATCCCTTCCACCTTGGATACTCAAACCTGAGCCCCTTAAGACATGAATCCTCAATTTGTAAATGGTTGAACGTGTAGCTGTTCTGCTTTTTCTAGCAAGCATCAATCATACCCTTGCACTGAGACAGAAGCACCTTCTCAATGTCCATTTAACCTGCATCGTGTGTGTAAATCTCACCTGGAGTAGTTGACACTTTTGAAGATAATGGTTATGAAAACATGTAAAATATACAAATAGAAAATACACAGTTATTAATGAAGTCTGCTTCGTGGGATATCCTTCATAGTTACTAAAGATTACAGATGTATGCCTTGTGCATTACACATTTGACCTGGTAAACATACACAGAGCCTTAGTGTTTGGGTTTATGAAGCTAGGCAATCGGAATGGGTATTGAAGACACCCATGCCGATTACCTAATAACATAAAGGTATTGGTAAAGTATGAATACAGCAATGTAGTGGCATCAACTTAACATGCAATAGCTATTACTTTAGATTTGCACTTATAAATCCACTTCTCTTTAATTTTGTGACCCTCAGAACATAGCTGATGCAAGGAAGTAAAGCATTACAGAAATCATCGTTATGCATTTCTTACAGCGGAGTGTTACGGTCATTACGTCGTTTGATTAGTTCTGCAGCAGGGTTTTCCGATTACGGCGCCCATTACAATAGGACAGTGGAAGCAACCTGTAAATCCACGCATTGTCTCTGCTTCTTCTAGAAAGCATCAGGCATTCCCTTGCACGGACCCAGCATCACTTTCTAAACGTCCCTTTGACTTGTATCATGTGTGGAAGGTCTCACCTGTAGTCGTCGTATGTACTTTTAGTTGATTAAGATCAAAACAGGTGAAATAAACAATTACACACCAACAGCCATCAGTGGCAAGTATTCCGAGCTCATCAGCAGTGCTTACAATTATGTGAGCACATTTAAGGTTTGGTATTAAACAAACAGAAGAAAAGTTATTTTCCTCACCATAATATTCACAGTTGTGGCCGGAGAAGTTCCAGTCACAATGGCAATAGTAGTATCCGGGGGAATGCCAATAATCGACGCAGGTGCCGCCATTGAGACACGGGTTCGAGTGGCACGCCGCTTTACAAAAACGAGCACACATGGCGTCACACTACTCGATGTGTTGCTTCACTGGTTTAATGTCATAACGGAGTGTGACAGTCATACAGTGGTTTTCATAGTTCTGCATAAAGATCCTCTAAGCATTGTGGCAATCACAATATGAAGGTAGTTGAGACAGCGAAGCTAAGTGAGGCAGGGCACCAGGTATTACAGGCCTAAGTCATGGTATCGTGCCATAACAACTAATATAACATTCGATCTTTCCTCCTCTCTGCTATCCCCTTCATATGAAGTAAATAACAGTAAATATGAAAAGCACATCAGAAGTTGATACATGCTTCAACTTTTAATGCAACTACTTTGCTCCGAATATGCGAAACTAGGCCAGTGTCGGGACCTAAGATTGGTGATCCTTTGCATGTGAGTGGATTGCTCAGCTGCCAGCAGGAAGTGAGTGAGGATAGGGAGATAGAAAGTGCTGTCACAGCATTTATGGAATCCAATTTTTATCGAAGGTAAGGGAAATCTCTAAATATTATAGTATCATGGCAGATGCGTGCGATTTCAGGTCCCTGTCCGATAGAGGATGCATTTTCCAGGGCATCCCTACTACAAAGGCTCATGAAACCACTAACCTCGATAAGTATCACATCCACATTTGTATTTTAATGCTTTCTGCATGTGCAAGGACTCAGTAAGCAGTAGTCGTTGTATCTACAGTAGTCGGATGATAATGGCAGAATACATTGAAAAGATACAAACACATTAGCATTCAATGACATACATACTTTACCATTAATCAAATTTACAAAAGCAAACACTTTGCACTTGGAAAACTCTACAAGATGATTTATTATAAATGTAAACGTGTCTCCCTGTTGCCTATCCAATGGAGGCCCAAAGTCGGTGGTAGACACTCTCCATCCCCATGGAAATCATATCACTGGCTATGACTGCACGAGATACTCTACGCAAACAAAACATTTTCAGCATATTGACATGAGATATGTGCTGAATGGATTCCAACCCAGGGTTTGAACTCTTCATTATTAGTTAAGCTCTCCAACCACATCCCTACAAAATTCTATACACCAGACACATGTAGGCAGTGCTTACAAAGACTCCAAATTTGGTTTGGATAATTGTTGAAATATCAAAGTAATTCGTAGCGCAACCACCTGATATATATTTTAATGGATAGACTATGCCTGACTTCCACCTTGGATACTCAATTTGTAAATGGTTGAACGTATCGTGTAGCTTTCCTGTACAAAATAAAGTCCAGAGGTCGTCCCTGCTTTTTAGAACGAGCATCAATCATCCCGTTGCACTGAGCCAGAATCACTTTCAAAATGTCCCTTTCACATGCCTCGTGTGTGGAAGGTCTCAGCTAGAGTAGTCACTTTCGAAGATGATGGTAATAAAAACAAATAAAAACGTCTACATAGTGACCCATTCCCTGCCAAATTTAATCAATTATCTTCACGTGAAATTACGTTTAAGATTTAATAATTATAAAAAAAACTGCCTGCTAGGGGGCAACCAAAGAGCTGCATGCGACTCCAGAGCCGCGGGTTGCCCACCCCTGAGCTAGCTAATGGGCATGGGTGTTTTCAATACCCATGTTGATTGCCTAACAACATCAAGGTATTGGTCAAGTATGAATACAGGCATTACATAACTGGCGGCATCTTAAAATCCAATGAGCATATCCTTAGATCTATACAGAAAAGTCCACAACTGCTCATCTTCAATGTTGTGACGCTAAAAACACAGCTGATGCAAGGAAGTAAAGGCACTTCAGAAATCGTTATGAATTTCTTGCAGCGGAGTGTTACGGTCATTAAATGGTTTTATCAGTTTTCCACGAGGTTTCTCCGAGAATGGCGCCCATAACAAGCCCTGCTTCCAAATGTCCATTCAACCTGCATCGTGTGTGTAATATCTCACCTGGAGTAGTCGACACTTCTAATGGTGATGAAAACATGTAAAATTAACAAATACAAATACACAGTTATCAATGAAGACTGCTTCGTGGGATATTGTTAATAATTACCTAATATTACAAATGTATGCCTTGTGCACAATGACACATTTCACTTGCCAAACATCAACAGAGCTAATGACACGCAGAGATACTTGTACACAAACACAGCAAGTATATAGCAGATTACAAATTCTGACTTAAATAGGTGATGGAATAAACTGTCTTTTGATTTCCTCCTTAAGTTATACTTTAACAATACAGTTTGAGTGCACATTTTGTTGGCACCAAGACATTCCATCGTGACCCATTCCCTGCCAAATTTAATAAATTTTCTAAACGTTAAATTACCTTTAAGATTTAATTTTGAAAAATCTGCCTGCAAGGGGGAAGCCAAAGAGCCACAAGTTTGAAGCCAAAGTATGAATACATGCATTATATGACTAGCACCATCTTAACATTCAATGGGCATACTCTTAAATTTACACGAAGTCCACTACTGCTCCAAGGGCCGGATTAAGGCACGAGGCTTTAGGGGCTGCAGCCCAGGGGCCTCCGCCAGCTGGAGGACCTCCAGAGATGAAGTGAAAAGTTATTTAATTTTGTGAATGCTGAATTATATTTGTTGTTAGCCTTGTAAAAAATAAATTTTATGTTTCTTTAACTTTGTTTTCTTTTTTTAAATATTACTGGGGGCTTCACAGTACCTGTAGCCCAGGGGCCTACACAATTTTAATCCGGCCTTGACTGCTCCTCTTCAATGTTGCTACCCTAAGAACATAGCTTTTGCAAGGAATCTTGAATTGAAGCTTTCGTGACTGCAGGAATCCATACTCTCTGGTTCTTTTGGTAAAGTCACGTAGATAGAAAACATAATAAAAGAAAACACGACGTTTCGGTCGCAACACAAGAGGCCGTCTTTTTTTCTCACCTGAAGACAGCCGCTTGTGTTGCGACCGAAACGTCGTGTTTTCTTTAATTATTGATTCTATCTACGTCACTTTACCGAAAGAACCAGAGAGTACTTATGCAAGAAAGTAAAGCACTGCATAAATCATCGAAAGAACCAAAGAAGATCATCGTTATTCATTTCTTACAGTGGAGTGTTACGGTCATTTAATGGTTTTATTAGTTCTCCATCAGGTTTCTCCGAGTATGGCGCCCATTAACAATCCTGGCTTCCAAATGTCCATTCAACCTACATCGTGTGTGGAATGTCTCACCTGGAGTAGGCGACACTTCTGATGGTGATGAAAACATGTAAAATGAACAAATACAAATACACAGTTATCAATGAAGTCTGCTTTGTGGGATATTCTTCATAATTACCTAATATTTCGAATGTATGCCTTGTACAGAACTACACATTTCACTTGCCAAACATGCGTGGAGCTAATTGTGTTAGGGTTTATGACTCTAGGGCAGGGCTCGGCAACCTTGGTTTTTGTGTTTAACCAAAATAGTTTGAGAGCCGCATGACACGTAGAGATACTTGTACACAAACACAGTAAGTATATAGCAGATTACAAATTCGAAACTTAAATAGGTGATGGCATAAACTGCGTCTTTTGTTTTCCTCCATAAGTTATTATTTAACAATACAGTTTGACTGTACATTTTGTTGGCACCAAGACATTCCATAGTGACCCATTCCCTGCCAAATTTAATCAATTATCTTCATGTTAAATGACGTAAAATATTACATTTTTAAAAATCTGCCTGCAAGGGGGCAGCCAAAGAGCCGCATGCGGGAAGCCAAAGAGCCGCATGCAGCTCCAGAGCCACAGGCTGCCCACCCCTGAGCTAGGCAATCGCCATGATTGTTATCAATACCCGTGTTGATTACCTAATAACATCAAGGCACTGGTAAAGTATGAATACAGGCATTAAAATGACTGCTACCATCTTAACAGCCGCGAAGTCCACTACTGCTCCTTATCAATGTTGTTACCCTAAGACCATAGCTTATATTTTGGTTTAAAGCTTATGCAAGAAAATATAGCACTGTAGAAATCATCATTATGAATTTCTTACAGCGGAGTGTTACTGTCATTAAATGGTTTCATTAGTTGTCCATCAGTTTTCTCCGAGAATGGCGCCCATAACAATCCTTGCTTCCAAATGTCCATTCAACCTGTATCGTGTGTGAAAGGGCTCACCTGGAGTAGGCGACACTTCTGATGGCGACGGAAACATGTAAAATGAACAAATACAAAATACGCAGTTGTCAATGAAGTCTGCTTCATGGGATATTCTTCATAATTACCTAATATTACACATGTATGCCTTGTGCACAATTACACATTTCACTTGCCAAACATGCACGGAGCTAATTGTGCTTGGGTTTATGAAGCTAGCGCAGGGGTTGGCAACCTTTTAAAGAAGAGCCATGTTGGGGTTTTTGTCTTTCACTAAAATTGTTTGAGAGCCGCTTCACACGCAGAGATACTTGTACACAAACACAGCAAGTATATAGCAGATGACAAATTCTGACCTAAAATAGGTGATGGAATAAACTGAGTAAATTTTTTTCCCTCTTAAGTTATTATTGAACAATACAGTTTGACTGTACATTTTTCTGGCACCAAGACACTCCAGTGACCCATTTCCTGGCAAACTTAATCCATTATCTTTACGTTAAATTACGTTTAACATTTAGTTTTAAAAAAATCTGCCTGCAAAGGGGCAGGCAAAGAGCCGCAAGTGGGAAGCCAAAGAGCCACATGAGGCTCTAGAGACCTAGGCTCCCACCCCTGAGCTAGCCAATCGGCATGGGTGTTTTCAATACCCATGTTGATTGCCTAACAACATCAAGGTATTGGTAAAGTATGATTACAGGCATTACATAACTGGTACCATCTTAACTTCCAATGGGCATACCCTTAGATTTATAAAGAAAAGTCCACAACTGCTCATCTTCAATGTTGTGACCTGATGTGAGTAAGTAAGGCACTTCAGAAATCGTTATGAATTTCTTGCAGCGGAGTGTAACG